CACCAGGAAGTTACAAAACTATAAAAAGTTTTAATAAAACCAGAATAAAACCAAGCTTTCGCTGGCTTCTGCCAGCATCATCAGGGTAGCATCCAGTCGATGGGAGAAGCTATTTATAAATGTGGCGCTCTTTGCGCCCGGCTTCTTGACCTCGTCATAGGTCCCAGCCAATCCACCTGCATTTTGATCGTAGTTTCTGTATTGCAAGCTGTAATTTCCTCACTTTCCTTGCTTGTGCTGATACCACAACTCTTCCTCCCTTCTTCGTATAACCGGAAGTCGGGGGGACCCTTTAATTCTACGTAGTTAAATGTGCACTGTCTGTGTTTATGTTGTTTATTCTCCTCATCCTTCCTTAGTATTCCCTATCTTCATTCTCCTCTCCCTATCTCTCTGTCTACGATCCTCCTTCACAACTACATCCTCTTTGTTCGTCTCTGTAGCCCAGGATTCCATTGTGTTTGTATCATCCTTTTCCCGATCTCTCGTATCGTTCTGTTAACTCCCCTTTCTATTTTCTCTTCAACGGGGGTAATTTTAACATCCTCCCCGGAATTCGTGGCACCCACAAGTTGGTTGTTAACCCCTTCTCCCGAGGGGGCTGTCCCCTCACTGCTGTTTATACATTCGTCCATTACTTGGGGGTGCGCAACCCTCCTTAAAGGGAGAGAGGCGGGGTCCTTGCAATCATGATTTGCATCTCCCTGTGCATTCCTACGGGGGTTCGTTCCTCTCAAATGTCTGTGGGAGCATGTAGAAGCTCTAAGATTGTAACAAACAGCCTCCCCATCTTCCCATAGTTCTCCTGCATTCCCGAGATGAGAGCAATTCAATAGGGAAATGTCGTGGGCGGAGTTAGTTGCAGAGTCGCCGGTGGAGAATTCCAAACAAGTAATTTTCAACTCAGAATAAAATCGGCATACTGAGTGACTACTCTCAAAGTTGCTTTAAACACTAGAGGAGGCTGTGAAATGTACTGACACATATCTCAACCCATGCCTTAAGCACTTTCCAATGAAACAAAATAAGGCACTTATGACTGGTTAATTAGTCATAGTCACTATTCAAATTATGATAGGCCTACTTGGGGGCTACCTATGACCTGGATTTAAAGTTCTTACAGTCACCACTCCCCCCAGTTATGTGATTGACCTTTGGATACTTGGCAAACAGGCCATATTTACAGCCGTTTGCAGCATCCCATGATCATGTGGCCACAATTTACAACAGTTTTGCCAAAACTATCAGCAAAACCAGTAAAACCATGTCCATACAGAAATAATGATTGCAGTGTTTCCTAAGCGTCTGCCACAAAACAGATTGTAATAGTTTTTATGACCATCAAGACTTATGACCAGCATGGTCAGACCTATGAGTAAATTGAGGACTACCTGTATACATTTTAAAACAGAATAAATAAATGTGTTAAGTTCAGTTTTTTTTAAAAAAGGTTGAATTGTTCTTTGTCATCATTTATCCTCATGATGATCCAAAAATCTCTTCTCTAGTAATGACTGGAGTGCAGATCTAACTTCACTTCTAGTATTGAAGGTTTTTGTAATTAAATAATATTATTTAAGGCAGTAGGTTCTTAAACTGCTTGACCCAGTTAACTTTTTTTCTGATCTTGAATAATACCATTATCCTCAGCAAAACAAAAACACCAAAACCCACAGAATCTATTCTTTAACACAAGCATTTCGGCAACAGCAGTTTCAAACTGGATACAAGATTCATAAACAAGCATTTACAAATTGGTCCGTAGGATATGTCTATATTGCCCTTTTGGAGGAAATTGCCCCTAGTTTAAGAACTACTGATCTTGGATATTGACATGTCTAGTGTACAGAATGTCAATAAACTTCTTCCATCTTTTGTTTGATCTTCTTTGAATCAATTATTGTCTGTCCATTAGTGTATTTTACAATATTAATTTAATACCAGAAACTCCCCCTGAATGTGGAGATCTTTGAGAAGCTTTTTTCCCCCATTTGCATTTCCACATTTTACATCCTTACAGATGTTGTTCTAATGCTGCTCCTTGTCTCTTTTAATGTTTCATGTTCTCGCTGTAATTCTTTTGCAGATTTGGATTTTTTTTTTTTTTTTTGCAATAAAATGTCCGGGAGGTTTTACTCTACCCATGTGATAAACACTTTTAGTGCTCTGAAAAATTCTCATTTCTTCCTCAGCAGCCTGTTGAATGTTATCCCATCCAAGGGACCAATAATTTGCCACTATATTATCAAATATTTGTCTGTCCATGTGGTTTTTGTGATAAAATATACTAGTGAATTACCACTAACTTTTCCTGACTGGTATGAAAATCTTTTGCTATTGTCAATAAAATATTCATCTACCACCAGCATCATCCTGCACTGCCATTGATGTTCATGCTTTGGGTGATGCTGCTGGAAGGATATACTCTTGACATATTTTCTTCCCAGTGCTCCTTGCTCATTCCTCCCAAGAAAATTTTCTTGCCACAAAGAGGTAGCATTTTCTATGAACTAATTGTTTAGAAAGAAAAACTGCCTTCATGTTTTGTATTTGAATCCTTACTCAAATAAGAAAGTTGAGCTATATTTGGCTGCTCTCTTTTCAATGCCTGCAGAATGCCTGAATAGCTTTGTTAATAAATAAAGACTCTAAAGCCCCACCATAATGGAAGGGGCAATAATATCCTTGAGGGGAGAGTGATGTTATTACTGGTGCAGAATTAATAAAACCAAATCTGGCATAGAAATAAATTATTTACAATGTATGGAATAACGATGCATATCCATGAGACTGTGTAAATGCCTTATTGGACTGGGCAATGGGATACATAACCCAACATGTTGTTGGCTAATGCACTCAACCTATGTCTGAAAAAACTCTGCAGACCAATGTGAAAGTGCTGTATTGCTTACTCCAGAACCTAACATTCAGAGGCAGACATGTGATAGCTCCATTGATTTTACCAGTTTATTTCTCTAAAGCAGGTATGTCAAACTGCCGGCCCGCAGGCCAGATGCGTCATGACGAAACCGTGCCCACTCCATTCCCGGCAATGGAAAAAAAGTCGTGATATGTCGTGACACGTCATGTGACATTGTGAGTTCGACACCCCTGCTCTAAAGCCTTTAGCTCAATTCTCCAGCACTGTATCCTACTATAATTAAGTCTAAAAAGTATAATCCCATAATTATTTCTTGTTTACCACTATCTATTTTTTCCCACTTGATTCAATTCTTATATTTTAAGTATTTCGGGGGGGGGGGGGAGAACTCACATACATTGTAAAGTTAATCTAATAATGTAAAAATAATGAAAAACTGTCCGGAACCTTGGGATATGGCCTTTATAGAAATACACATAATAAACATAAATAAATATCCATCATTCATATTCTTCTATACTTCAAGGTATTTTGTATCTTTCAGTCTGTGCTTTATTGCATGTAAAATGTGCCATTCAAAAATTTACTAAAATTCAGCTATCATGACCATGAACTTATTTATTTAATTTGAAAGATCGGTGATTCATTGTTAAAAAATTCACAGCAGGGGGGAAATACAATCCCACCACCAAAAATCCATTAAAACTACAGGCAGTTAATACCAGATGTTCCATTCTAAGACACAAATTAATATGACCCATCCAGGAGTAATATGAGCAAGAATTTCAATAGCAGTTACCCAAAATCTCTACAACTTCAACAAGTAGACATAAATTAGTATTCATTAATAGAGGGGAAAACTATTACAGAATGCCATTCTGTTTCTAAAATTCAGAAAATTATCCTCCAAGGTGTTTTTTTTATTCGTAAAGCCAAATCTGGGATTAAAAACAGTGTACCATATTTTCTGGTACAATGATTTAGGCTGTGGTGACCAGAGAGCTTAATTGCCTCTGAAAGAAAGCAAAATAGATCAATGTTCAGCAATAAGACTTGGAGTCTAACCTATATACAGCCGCATAGATTTGAAGCAACACATGCACCAGTACTTCTTTGTGAGTTAACGGGTGCTTTACTACAAGAACAGTGTTACAATTATTATGAATATGTTAATTGCTGCAGCTAATAGTGCAAGACATATTTAGTCATCCAAAACTCACATACAACCTTCAGCCATACTGACTAGGAACTGAGACTTGAATTAAGTATGTCTTAATTTATGTTTATTATACAGTATACTCTCAGAGGGAAGGTCAGGATAAAAGCAGATAGATAGATCTCCTGGATGATCTGCCATAAATCTGGTTGTTCAGGTCTTCCAACAGCATTATCACCACTGTAATAGTACACCCACCCTGTACCTGGTCACTCTCTTTTCCTCTTTCCTTCCACCTTTCCCTATACCAGAGCTTGCCCCAGAGATAGAACAATTCAGATTTCTCTACTTTACCTGCACAGTTCTTAAATCTGACTCTGATCCAGCAATATGTTCTGTTCTACTTAATATTTGGAAATTGGGAATGTCTAGGCTGCCTTTGTTGGGGTTTGATGATCTCTTTTGTATTTTTCACTCATTATTTTATTATTCTTGAGTAATGTTTAGAGGAATAACTATGTTTTATTTTATGTAATGTAAACATCCCAAGTCTTAAGACAGGGTGGTATAGAATTTTTTTTTTTAATCTATCAATCACATAGAGGGACAGGTTTGGTTTTTGTTTTTGTTGTGTTTTTAACTGTCCTCTTGGCTGAAACTGTATTTTTCCAGTACTGTAAGTTCTGGGCAAGAAATTTAAGTGACATGGAAAAGTTCTAACTTTTTGGCTTTCCTACTAAGTTTGTCCCTGTCCTGGGTCCTGACAATATTAAAAAAAATCTATTGAACAGACTATACCACTCTGCATGTGTCTGCAAAAACATATCAGAGAGCAGGAATCTAACCGGACCAATTATTAGTTGACCAGAGAACTAACTAGAGCAGAAATAACATTTAGGCAAAATGTGGCACCCAGGTAACTACATTCCACTGGGATGAAAGTCAGAAAGCAAGAATGTATGGAAGTGAAACTAACAATCTCATGAACAAGAGAAGGCAAAGTGATAGATAAAGAAGGTTCACAAAGTGCTTAACTATTCTCTATATACCCCCTTGTGGTCAGTATGTTGTGGTGCTAAAGTATCAGGGCCACGGAAAGTAAATTAAGAAATAGACTCGGATACAGAGCTAAAAACCCCAAATCTAATCCCCAGTAATTCCTATTAAGAAAGTATTTACCTTAGGCTAATGCCTATCCAACAGTGCTGAAATATTTATGTTACTTTTACAGTATACTGGGACTGATACAGTATAATGTTTTTCTTTCAGCACCATTAATGGACAGATACCATAATCAATCTATCAATCATTTAATCCATCCATCCACCCATCAGCCATGTGCCCAACAATGAATTTTCTACTTTACATATCTGCAGAGACACCTTTTTTCTATCATTTCTACAGAGATCACAGAATTCTGAGGGCACCTATTCTATAAGGTTTGCCATATAGGAAGTTGATTTTTAGGTGTGAGATTTAGTTACAGACAATAATGTGAAAAATTTAAGAATATACTGTAGTACTTTTGCTAATGAAGCTACAAGTAATATATACTAAATTCAAATTAAAATATAAAAACTGCAGCATAATTACTTTGGCGGTTATAACTGTTAGAGGCCAATATGACTAAAGTAGCCAATTTGATAAAGGAGAGTCAATTAAAATACTAAATCTACCACCTTTTAAGTGCAGTAAGGCCAGATTCTGCATAAACCTATGTGGATGACCCTTATTTTAAATCACAAGAATTTTAAACATAACTCAAGTTTAAAAGAGCTTTTCTTGTACAACATCCATTACTCAAAATACTTAAGCTAATTTGGAAAGTTGTTGGCATATAAGAAAGCTATTATTTTTTTTTTAATATGCAGAAAATTCTTAAATTCTTCAAAGCTACAGTATAAGGAGTGGTTCATATAATGTGCTTCTTTGTTAAAAATACATTTTGAAAGATAGAAAAAAATTATTAAGCTTATATTGAACATTTACCACTTCTTGTATAAAGTCTGTAAATATCATGCTCTGGGCAATGATTTAGATTACATTTTCAAATAAAATAGTAATTGCTACAAATTTAATGTCTTACTATTTCTAGTAGAGATCATGGTAAATAATCTAATAATCTTTGTACTGCAAAAAGACTTTTCTGTTTGCCAATTTTCCTTTCAGTTGGTTTGGTTTTTTTTTTTTTTTTAATCATCATCAAATCCAAGTTTGAAAGAGCTTTATCATTCAAATTGCTTTCTAGGAAATTTCTAGAGTGAGAAGAGTTTTATAAAAGGTTTTACTATCCAAAATTGTTGTTTTTCTTATTTTAAAAAATGTGTTTTTTTTAAACTAACTAAAATAGAATTGTACAAAGCTAAAAATAAAATTAGGATTTTCCCAGTATCATGCATAAATGGCAATTTGTTATACATGACAATAAAAGAAAAAGGAGCAATCTTTCTTCACTATGATCTTCATGGCAAAAAGTTACTGTCAGAAGGTCTTTAAGTATGGGTTGTATCCTCTTTGCAAGGCAGTTGTGGAATCTATATATAGGTCTCTCTTTTGATATGGTAGTATTTGCCCTTCCAGCATTAGCTCCTGTACAAGTCCCAAATCACTCCTGAGTATTGTCCAAGATTACCAAATTAGGATTGAATTGTTTTTGCTCAGTCTTATCTTCCCCTCTTCCAAAATAGTTCTTCCCAGTCAAGGAATCAGTGGATGTGTTCTCTCTAGTGCTGAGTTTGTACTTCTATTCCAGGCAATCTGAGCATTATACCTCTTCTTCCTGCAATGAATATTTGAGTAAATGAATATGTGTATCCGCGTGTCTGTGTGTGTGTGCGCGTGCACACACACACACACACACACACACACACACACACACACACACACACAGAGTGTGTTTTCTTCCTGGCGTTGAACCACTCCAGGCAATCTGAGCGTTGCACCTATTCTTCTTGAAGGAGAATGATACTGCCTGATGGGAGGCATAGTAGGAGCTGTGTCTGGGTGTAGTCTGATATGTTTATTCATGGGGAAAGGGTATTCAAAGAAATTATATTAAGAAGTCAGAGCACTAGAGTTTGAGAACCCTGAGTTACTCGAATTATTTCATCTGCCTAAATTAGTACATCTTCAACAACAAATCTAAGATTGTAACATTTAATACAGGGGATTACAGATTGCAAAAGTTTGATGGGCCTCTATTTTAGACCATACAAAGTGACTATATCTACACATCACACAGAATATTAATCTGTACTTTCTTTTATCCATAGCTTATTGAAGAAACTGCAGTTAGGTTTATATGACGCCTTATGCCATAATGAAATAAATCATGTTTAATGCAATATATGAACCAGGTTCATAAATTGAAAGGATTTAAAAGGCATAAACAATTTTTGTAGTAAATTTAAACTAAACAATTTAATTTAATAAAATGTCAAACTCATCTGGAACAAAGATAGATATAATTCTGAAACATGAATACTACATGAATACTACATGAATACATACATACATACATACATACATATATATATATATATGGTACAAATAAAATACGAACACCAGGAGAGTATAAATATAAAAATATACTTTACTAAAAGCTGCCAAGCTTTCGTTTGGAAACTCCAAACATCATCAGGGCTAAGGAGCCAGTAAACAATGATGACTTAAATGGGTTTTGCCGGCATCTGCACCCGGCTCATGGACCGCGTCACCGGTCCCGGCCAGTTAATTAGTGTTCCAGATGTTTCTTTATTACTCTCCTTACGCTTCCTTCTATGGTTCTTCTGGATCATTCCTTCCACTATCTCATTACTGGCATTCATCTCCTCCACCACCCCTTTATCCTTATTTCCTTCCATAGTACTGACCCTCCTCCCCTTTTTGTTTTCATTTTCCACCCTGGGGGCATCTGTTTCTCCTCTATCAGTGTTACAAGCTTCCCTGGGCTCACAGACGCTCCCCCACACACACGCTTTTCTCAGTCCCTGCTCCACACCCTTTCTTCTCACTCCTCCACTGTCATGAGTAACTTTCATACGGGTGTTGCATATTTGGGGGTCTATGCCCTCCTCCTCCATCCTGGCAATGTTCGTGTCAACAGTTCTCCACCGTTCCATTTGTTTGCTGCGTGATCGGGTGCTTACTCCGTCTCTCAGTTCATCATCCCCCCTCCTCCCTATCACATGCCCTTCCCCATTGCTGATAGGAACGGTATTCAGGCGGACACCAGGTCTCCAGATCTCTGCATTCTGATTCCCCGCGTTCTCACTCTCCTCTCCTGTGCTCGTCTTTGGGGGGACTTCAAAGTGTTCGTCCTGGGGGGGGGCTGTATTGTTGGTGGGGGTATTCCTTGTCTGCAGAGGGTCCAGGCAGAACACCGTGTCTCTCCCTTTCACCGTATGCCTAGGCAATCGAGCCGTGCTCTCATTCTTCTTCTCCCCCCCTTTTTTCTTTTGATCTCCGTCGACGTTCCCCACAGCGTCAGGCTGCAGACTCCTCATGCTGGATCTTCCACACTCTCCACAGTTGTTGTTAAGTTCCAGGGGTGGGGGTCTATCGTGGTGATATTGGGGAAGGGGGAGATCTTCCATCGGTGGATGATTACGTGTGTTTGACAGTGGTGGCCTCCTCAGACGTTCATTAGAGCGGTATTGGTGTTGATCGGGCGAAACGGGGGTGCCCCTGGAGTGTCGAGGGTTAGCCAAAGTTCCATCTACCTGCTCAGGATGGAGGCCAGGTATCTCGTCACATTTACAGCCGTACAAGCATTGTTCAGACCGTTTATAATGATTGGCATGGTGTTTAAAATCCCATTTCCTCAGTGCTGTCAAGTTACTCATGACAGTGGAGGAGTGAGAAGAAAGGGTGTGGAGCAGGGATTGAGAAAAGCGTGTGTGTGGGGGAGCGTCTGTGAGCCCAGGGAAGCTTGTAACACTGATAGAGGAGAAACAGATGCCCCCAGGGTGGAAAATGAAAACAAAAAGGGGAGGAGGGTCAGTACTATGGAAGGAAATAAGGATAAAGGGGTGGTGGAGGAGATGAATGCCAGTAATGAGATAGTGGAAGGAATGATCCGGAAGAACCATAGAAGGAAGCGTAAGGAGAGTAATAAAGAAACATCTGGAACACTAATTAACCGGCCGGGACCAGTGACGCGGTCCATGAGCCGGGTGCAGATGCCGGCAAAACCCATTTAAGTCATCATTGTTTACTGGCTCCTTAGCCCTGATGATGTTTGGAGTTTCCAAACGAAAGCTTGGCAGCTTTTAGTAAAGTATATTTTTATATTTATACTCTCCTGGTGTTCGTATTTTATTTGTACCATAGACATGCCCAGGAGTCGTATTTTTATGCAAATTTTCCAGCATATATATATAACAACACACACACACACAAAAGAACAAAACTATAAGAAAAACAGTGTGTGTGTGTGTGTGTGTGTGTGTGTGTGTGTGTGTGTGTGTTAGAAAAACAAAAATCAAGCACCAGGATAAAAGTATAAACAAAACTTTTTAATGTAAAATCATTTAGCTTTCGTCGGCCAAACTGCCGACATCAACAGAGTGAAAGTAAAGGATCTGGGAGTTTACTTATACAGATCACCGAGACTGAAGAATTTATTTAAAAACTTAGCTTTCGTCAGGGTCTAATTTGCTTATCGAATAAAGCTAAAACTTTCTACAACTCTAAACACTTTTAAAAAACCCAAAAAAACACACACAGTTGTATTTGGAATATAATTCAACAGTATCTCTGGCTCTACTATTCTATCCTCCACCATTGACAAAATCCCAATAAGAAGATTAAAGTTTGAATTATTCTGTACAGGTAGTCCTCGACTTACAACCATTCATTTAATAGCTGTTCCAAGTTACAATGGCACTGAAAAAAATGTCTAATGACTATTTTCACTCCCCTTGGTCACATTTTAAAAATTAGGATGCTTGACAACTTGCTCATATTTAGGACAGTTGGCAGCATCCCGGGGTCACATGATCACCTTTTGCGACCTTCTGACAAGCAAAGTCAATGGGGAAACCAGATTCACTTAACAATTCAACCACTGCAGTGATTCACCTAACAACCATGGCAAGGAAAATGTCATAAAATGGGACAAAACTCCCTTAACAATTGTCTCACTTAGCAACGGAAATTTTAGGCTCAATTGTGGTGGTAAATCAAGGACTGCCCATACTGCATCTTTAAGTTACATTCCATCTTTCTCCCTTTCAAACACAATGGTGGCATGCTATGCAAGAAAGGAAACCATTTATATAGACTGCTTCATTTTTACTATTATCGGTAGTTCTGGATTAATGATGGCAATTAGGACCAGAATTTCTGTCATTGGGCGGCAGTCATAAAATATGATGTCACACGACCATGCTGCTTAGCAAGGGCAGCTCCAGCATTCCCATTGTTGATGTTAAGTGAATCCTCACTATTGTTAAGAGCAGGGTTATATGGTCATCATACCTGACCTCCTGCCAGCTTGCCTACTGACTTTCTTTGTTAGAAGCCAGCAAGGAAGGTTTGAAAAGGAAACCACATAACTGTGTGATGCTATGACATCAAAATTGCAAGCTGATCACCAAGATCATGAATACATGACTGCAGGGTCATTGTGATGGCCACAACTATAAGAACCGGTCAGAAACACCACTCACCGAACAGTTGCTGAACATGTGATCCTTTAGTAGGAACTACCTATAAACTCAATCTGTCAAAAGGACACAAAAAATTCAAGCAATGTTTAACAGGACTCCCTACAAATTTTGAATAGTCTGCAATAACAATTTATGGATGCATTTTCTCAATTTATACATGCTAATTTTGTTTTGTTTTAATTTACTTCGAGGATTAAAGTCTGGAAGTCTCTTTCAGTTTTGACTGCCTGTCAAGATGATTTTGTTTTTCTTCTTGCTAATCATTACTTCAGAAGAAATGTCAATAGACCGATTTTAAACAGGAAGGGATTACTTAAAGATGTTCCTAAGAGTCAACATCTTTATCATACAAAGTTGTCTAAATTAAGACAAAAAAAGAAAAAAAAGCTCTCTACCAAAATAAGTTATACAGGCTGGGAATATATTCTCCTGTGCCTAACCGAGCCAGACATGCAAAGCTACAAAAGAAACTAAATATTTCAATTTCAAGCTTATCTATAAAGTTTTATTTAGCCCCTACACTCAGACTGGACTAGGTATAAGTGCTCAATTTAGTCAAGTGGAAATTTTTGGTTCCCAGACTAGCAAGGATCTTTAGGTAAACATGTCTGAATTGCCCAAGGCCACTAAATGATAGCAGTGTTCCAATATCTCAGGGGCTGCCACAAAGAAGAGGGAGTCAAGCTATTCTCCAAAGCAACTGAAGGCAGGACAAGAAGCAACGGATGGAAACTAACCAAAGAGAGAAGCAACTTAGAACTAAGCAGAAACTTCCTGACAGTTAGAACAATTAATCAGTGGAACAACCTGTCTCCAGAAGTTGTGAATGCTCCAACACTGGAAGTTTTTAAGAAGAGAATGGACAGCCATTTGTCCGAAATGGTTTAGGGCAGCGGTTCTCAACCTTTGGGTCGCGACCCCATTTGGGGTCGAATGACCATTTCACGGGGGTCGCCAAACAACGCAGTCCACCATTTTTTCCCCTTTTCCTTAGCTGTGCTACTCCCTTTTATTCTATTGGCTTTTGAAAGCCAATAGAATAGACTCGCTTGAATAGAGTCTAATTCTATTGGCTTTCAAAAGCCAATAGGAATTGTCCAGGCTGTCTTTGCCCTGCTGAGCCCGCCAAAAGTCCCATTCTGCAAACGGTGCTGCAAGTTGTCTGCAGTGAAGGTGAGCTGTCTGGAAGTTTCCACCCCTCCCTGCTGAGCAACTACTAAAAATGTAAGTAAAAGAGGGCCAGGGGTGGGAGGTAGGAGGCCGGCGGGCGCAGGGAGGGTTGCTGGCACGCGTGGGGCCCGGCGGGTGCCTTACCTCCCTTGGGCTGGGCCTCGGCCAGCGCAGGGGGCGGCACCACACATGCGCGGCGCTCCCGGGCAGGGAAAGTCCTCGACTTACGACCGGTTGAGTAGTCCTTGACTTACAACCGACTGGGAGTCGCGGCATTAAAAAGGTTGAGAACCACTGGTTTAGGGTTTCCTTACTGAGCAAGGGGTTTGCTAATTTCTTCTCCTGTTGACTGAATTTGTGTGATTGGAGCATTGGTTTCTGCCAAACTAACTGAGGCAGTTTAACAGGATTATACAAAGAAAACAGATTCTAAAGAGCAAGTCCCTCATCCACTGAGGAGCTATCCTACTTTCTTTTTTCCAAACCCAAAGAGTTTGGTTAATTGAAATTGACCAACCTAATACAAAAAAAAAAGCTGGGTTGAAATTGACGAGACAGCCAGTTCCTCTACCTTTCTAGAGGTAGAGATGATTACTGGTATTTTTTCCTGGATTTATGGAAGTCTGGATGGGAAATCTAGCATTCCCAGGGACTATGATGGTTTACCATCTCTTCTATATACTCAGGCCAATTTCCCCATTTCTACTTTCTTAGTAGTCATTCAGTCTCCATTTTCTCCAGAATGGCTCTGCTGCCAATTGTACTGGCCTAACTTGTCAGTGGCCAACAACATAGACACCTCAGTATTTTATGCTTCAAGTTGTCAAAAATTAAAAAGCCATCCTCCATCAGAAAATCAAAACATATCAGGAGAGCAATTTTTTATGGTAGATAACATTGACTGGGAAGGGAAAGGACAGCAAGGATTCTACCAATCTTTGCTTTTAAATTCTTTTGCAATGTGCAGGCAGCAAGATTGACAACTGCGATCAAGGTAGGCTGCACAGGCAAAGTTGTTATATCAACCATTTCTTTCTGATTCAAGGATGGGAGAAAAGCACATTGCTGTCAATGTGAGGATAAGTCCCAAGAGGATAAGAATGGCAATGTGATAATGGAAAGACAAAACAGTTTTAGTACTTTCAGTGTTAAGTCTTCATTGACTAGACAGCCTGCTTATAATCTTGGAAGAGATAGAAGCAACAATTAAAACATGAAGTCCTGGAAATAAAATAATACAATATAAGCTTTTATTTTGCATTGGCAGAAATGAATAAGCAAAAACTGGGTTGGCTGTCTTTTCCTTCTTTGGCAAATTCTGTTCCTGCCAAAAGCTCTATTGGAAAGGTCAGAGTACCCCTCTTAAATGGAGTGGAATATAATACAGAAGGCGGAGGAAAAGACAGGAATTGCTAACAGAAGGGAACATATTCATTCCAGATTTTTTTTTCTTGTTTTTGAGCTTCCTGCACCATTTAGCATCCTAGATTGAAGATGGCATTCTCACCATCAGGAGAAGCTTTTCTGATTTCTAATGAGAAATGGGAGGAACTTGACCTTCAGGAGAAGGAAGCTCACCTGCAATCAAATCTGTTTTATATGCAGTTTTCTGAGTCCAAGCCAAAATAGTTAGCAAGTTTTCCAGCCACATTGGCCAAGTTTCCTGCTAGCTAAGTGACAAAAATAAATCAGCGATAATTTTATGACATTGAAAACAATGATCTCATTTCACACTTACTTATCTGATGAGCTTGAACACATCCCAGCAATTTCTAAATCTCTTATGATGTCCGAACTTGAACTGAAAGGCAAAGTAAGATCTAGTTTAGACTACTTGTTGAAAATTGTCAGATACATCAAAGGACAATAATTTGTAGCTCAGGGTAGAAATGAGGGTTCTTTGGTGCTCTCGGAGCTTGGTTGTTTTCTTGCAGACGTTTCATTTCCCTAACTAGTTAACATCAAAGAACTTATTAAACATATGCATGAACATTCAGCTAGCCAAGTCCAAAGCAAGATAGAAGCTGCGCTGACTTCATGAAATGCTGAGATTCTTCTGTCTTTTCATTTCTCCTTTTTAAAGTTGATGTACTTACAATAATCATTGGGCTCTTTAAAAATGGAGGATTATTATTAAGTACTTCTGGACTGACTGTGTAATAACATAACAAGCAATAAAGAATTCGCTGCCAGAAAGCTTGAAAAATCAAACTTTTTTTCTTAAAAAGCTACAGAAATCTCTTTGTTTTTAAAGTAGTGTTATAACAATGAAGCTTATTTTAAAAATTCTGCAAACTTTTTAATAATTTTTAAACGTTTCAGAGTTGTACATTGCCATTGTTTAATTTAAGAAAAAAGTAAAGCATTTTAGAATTAGCTGAACATCAATATTAGGAATAAATAAAATAGTTTCTATGGCAAACGTTATATAATAAATAAAGTCACTCTAAGCCAGTGGTTCTCAACCTTTCTAATGCCGTGACCCCATAATACAGTTCCCCATGTTGTGGTGACCCCCAAGTGGGTGTGGCCACCAATAAGAGGGAGTAGGACAGCTAGGGAAAAGGGAAAAAAATGGCGGACAGTGTGGTTTGGTGACCCCTGTGAAATGGTCATTTGACCCCAAATGGGGTCCCGACCCACAGGTTGAGAACCACTGCTCTAAGCTATGACAAACTCATCTGCATATCCAAATCCTGCTTCTTAAACAGATAAGTCACAAAGAATTTATATTCACTGAAACTGCTACCTTTCAAACCTTCTGCAATCAAGAAGAAATACTGAAACAGCAGTGAAAAGAAACAAAAGATTATTAATAATGAAATTTTATGAAATTCCCTCCTTAAAATGTCAGTGAGTGACATGTTTATTTCATTTTAAGAACCTTGCAGGAAAGCAGTTTCTAACATTCCTGAAAAGGTGTTAACTAAAAAACTTAAGTTTTGAATATATGGCCTGAATACAGATGGCTGAAATATAATCCACTAAGAAAACTATGATCATTCAGCTAAATAAATGTTCTTAATTAGATACAATGCCAGGTATCTCATAAATTGAGGAGTCACAAAAAGAAAAATTTTGGATGAAATTATTCAATTATCTCCCTCCAATATAGTCACTTGAAAAGATTAAAAAGATTTTGATTCCCCCCCCCAATGTTTGTCTCCTATTTAAGGAAACGGTTAAGGATATAACAGCAAGGCACTAAACAACAAGGGAACAAGAACTGATGGCCTTGAGAAAGAAACAAAATCAATGCAAATTCATGTCATATCGTAACCACCAGAATTATATTTTTGGAGACCAGAGTGTCTTAAAGGTCATTCATTACCTTATATGTAACTTGAGACACTTCATCTCAATTGTACCACATTAGGAGTTCTCACGTTATAATTGCCAATGGATTAGTCAGAGACATGGAAGAAGGGGGAAGATAACTTTTTCCTTATGAAATGCTATTGATCCATAGGAAAGAAAAATCAATAAAGTTTCTGTGCCTGACAAGGGTCTGCACAAAGAAAAAGTCCCTCACTTTTTCATTCTTATAAATGAAGTCTAGTGCTGCATAAAATTAAGGGTGTGTGTGACTCGAAACCTTTCAATATTTACCTCAACTTACCAAACAAGTAGGGTACTTAATGTTTTTAGATATTTTGGAAACAAGCCATGAATGTAAAATGACAATTCTATAAAAATGATATATCTGAATAGCTAAAAGAGGTTAATGCATTAAAGTACCTCATTTAAGTAGTCAATTCCATATGCTATTTAAGATTCTAAAAAAAAAAAATCACATCTCAGATTGTGTTCTGTAACAATACATTCTTAACTATTGTGGCAAAACTGTCCAATATTATTTTGCCTTTAAACATTATCTCCTTATCACATTTATCCATACACTATCACTTCTACTAGTCTCAGATAAGTGAGTTCCTTACCCCCAAATGGACAGAGTGGTTTGTAGGAATCTCATACTAGAATGTTTTAAAAATCCTAAGTTTTGTTCTTTTTCTTGTTCATCGCTAATGTTAAAATTTGATGTCAGAAAACATTTTCCTGCCATGAATGAAATTGATTGGTGCAATATCTTTGTTGAGATTATGGCATGGGTACATAAATTCGCAGAAGTAACTGATCAATAACTCATTTGGCAGGGGAAAAAGGGCAAAAGAGCAAAATAAGTGGATGCAATTGGTTGGTGCACAAAACTCACTGGCAGGCAGAACAGGAAAAAAAACCCCACAAAATTCCCAATTAAAAGAAGAGCTATGTAGATTAGAAATAAAAGTTTTCCAAGACTTTGACTTATGAAAAATTCAAATAAGAAAATTGCCAGGTACATTTTGAAGTAAAATTGCATCAAGAAAACTGTCACAAGCAACTGAAGTTGCAATGCACAAAGTTTAATTTAATTTCAAGTAATTAGAAATGCTTGCCTCGGCTCCAAAATGTGTTATGTATGAGCATGCCCTATTGCCATTAATTTGATCAGTTCACACTGCTGGAAAGACTAAATGTAGGGTCTGCAATCTATTGGGTATTATCTCCATGCTTACCAAGTTTGCTGTGAAAAACACCTCTGACCTGCTGTACAATTGTAGCCATGTATTTGTTTTAATTTAATTTTCATTGTTGTTTCCTTCCTTTCCTTCCACTTGTAGCAGAAAGCCTAGAAAAAACTTATTTATAATTAGAAGAGTTTTCACTGTCCTCTCCTTCTCCCCTCAAAACTTCTTGCATCTTGCCCATGATCTTGGCTGAACTTTAGGAATAAATCCATTTAATAGTGCTGCTGACATGCCTGAGAGGACTATAATTTTTGAGCTGTTGGTTACATATTACCTTTTTAAAAAATGTATTGCTGCTGATTTCAGCTGCAGTCAAAGGTAATTGGGCTAGAGCTGGGAAATGTGGGATGGATAATTGTGGGATAACAGGAGAGGCAAGTGGGGAGATTCTTTGGAAGAGAAAATCATTTTCTTAGTTCTCTAGGCTTGGTCATTTTCTTTCCAGAGGTGGAGGTACTGAAGTAACTGAGTTAAAGTCTAAACCTAAACTTCCCTGGATAAATAGCAATGCTCTGGACACTTGACCATCTTAGTGTTCATAACTATCATAGATGTTCAGAAACATCACCAGGTATAGGACCAGTAGGTCCTTCACTAAAACTCTGCAGTATCTTCCCAAGTCTACATATGCTAGCATGTAAGATAAACTTCGGAAACCAGAAAATGAGATGTTACCTAACCTTGAACCAGGGAGAGATGAAGAACAGCCATACATAAGGACCTGCTTTGTAGGGGACAAAATTATTAGTTGCCACCAAATAAACAAAGTAAGTAACCTTTTTGGCAGTTATGGTCAAGGCCAATACAGTCCTTCAAAGTAATGCTTAAAAAGTCTAGAATGATTTTATGCTTGTAAAGAAACAACCAAGGGGTGATAGTTAGAAGCTGCTCAAGACATATTAGTGCCTGCCTCAGGGGCTTGAAATCCTGCATGAAAGGTAGCATATACATTTTAAATTTATAAATTTACCTTCATTCATAAAAATATAATTTTTTACAAATAAATAAAAGCTAAGATAGGGTTCTGACACTACCTGTATTTCTTCTTTCTCACTGACATGCTAAGTCAGAATATATTGGAATATACCTGCAGTTATTTTTAATATGATGACAAAATATTTACCAGTTTGGGACAAAAATATTTGAATGCCCTTTTTTTCTCGTGTAACCTTAGCAGCTTATATAAATCATTTTTACAAGCAAATGAACTAAAGTGATTCAGCAATCACAGCAATACATTTAGACAAGCAGTGGATCTTTCCAGGAATTGTTTAGGCTGTGGAACTTTGTGTCCTCTCCAATGGCATTCCACAGCACAAATAGCCTGTCAACATTCTTCACCCAAAATTTGTGATCACAGAATCTGGGTGGATAATTTATCACAATTTCTCCAGGGGAAGAAGAAATTCTCCAACAATTTCTCAAGGGCAAAATTCCCTCTTAGTAGTAACAGTAGTATTGCTACTGAAAAAGCTCAGTGGGAAGAATTCCCTCATGGCACTTTCTCTTGGGATTTAAGTCAAATATTGGATGCCAAGAAGAGGCTACAGACTGTGGGAGAGATGGTTGTAAAATAAAATTTAAGTCCTTTACAGATACCCTTTGACCACTTAAACTAATGGCAAATCCAAGTCATGAGAATTTATCCAACATGTCCTTCTTTGAAAGGATTCCTAAAGCAAATTCATCAAATTGAGTGAGAACTGGTCAAGAAAAGCAGAATTTTCTTCATTTCAACAGTGATGTGCAAAGTTATTTTAAATGTTATTTTAATGCTAATTTATTCTTAGAAAATGAAGCTTTTTTAAGTACTTGATTTTTTGCTTTTTTGTTAACTACTTGATCTGTCTATGAAAAAGCAGTAGTAAAAATGGAAATTTGGGAAATTTTGATAAAAATAAATCTAAAGGCTAATTAATATTCATTATCTAGTGTTACCTTCCAAATGATTGACAATGGGTATGAATTTTATATTACAAAAATAGAAAACAGAATTTGAAGTCACCTCACCTTTGTAAAATAAACTATTACAACAGAACAACAACAGATAACTAAGAAATGCATGCCCTTTTTCTTTCTAACCTAGCAGAACTTTTGAAAGTTGTTACGTAAAAAGGGTTAGAATTGTCTGTTAAAAGAATATGTCTCCAGCAGCTAAATAGACTAGGGCCAAATTTTGATATAGCATAATCAAATAAATAAAATAAAGAAGCATTATATCTGGCCAGAGAGTACAAAGAAGAAAAAAATCTCCAGTGGATCCTTACAGGAGAAACACTTAGACAATGGTTCAGATTGTTACCTATTGTTCTATTCTAAGCCCTCTCCTTTTTCCTTCCCCATCACATAAACCTTTGTTTAAGGGATTGGAAAGAATTCCAGAAGCTAAGTTCCCAGCAGGTTTACTATTGCAACTAATATACAGAAAATATTAGCAGTTCATCAATATGCTGTAGTCTACTCTTGAACTTTATTACATATTAACAAGTGGTAAACGTAAGCTTTCAAATCTGATCCATTTTCTTCATTTATTCCCTGGATGTTTTCAGGGACTGGATGACTTAAGTTGCTAAAACTTAAACATTTGCCAATACATCCTTATGTCTCCAGATTCTAAAAACTGCTTTATAATTGAAGTGTAACCAGCCATTCTTCCTCTTCAATCTTTTCAAGTAGGTAGCCATAAATGTTTGACAAGAATAACCAGGCATACAATCTGGAAGGGTCAACTTAGGTCCTATTCAAACATTTTGAAATCAAAACGCAATGTGTGGGTAAAGTCAAACTAAGTCACTATACACTTAAGTCTATTAAAGTATCTACATACCTATTAATGCAACTTTCTTGATATATATACTATACAGAAATAGTTTATCCTTGCTTTCTTATAGAACATAGGTAGTTATTATCATTGATTTCCCAGTATGGTTTCCTTTTAAACTCCATGCAAATACTAAGTCTGACCTTTAGCTTCTTTTGAAACCAGGCAAAGTCTGCTAGGTGTTACCATCTGCTTAGGAATATGAAAGATATCAAATTGCAATACAGGTAATCTTCATTTAGTAACTACCTTGTTTAGTGACCATTCACAGTTACGATTGTGAGAAAAAGTAACTTTATGACCAATTCTTGCATGTACAACTTTTGCGGGTTTATAAAGCAAAGGAAAGCTGAAGTAAGATCATAAGCACACTTAGTTTCACTTAGCAACCACTTTGCTAAACGACTAAGATGCCAATCCAATTGTAATCTCTAAGCAAGAACTACCTGAATCAGTCATTCATGAGATGGTCATGTTCACTATGACAACCATCAAGTAGCTGATTTCTCACAAGATTTTCTCTGCACTTGGATCTTTTTCACTGATCACCTCCTATCTCATCAGAAGACAATCCATCTCAGAATCATTTGTAAACTATCCCTTGTACAGATGCATTTCAAATCAGAAAATTGTAATTATTTCATTTATACATTTACAAAATTGTATGTACTACCCAACTTCCAAACTGTTTAGCCTTAGCTTTAGTCTTTTCTGAGAGAAAAAAAGATACTTTCTGCTCAGTCAGATCCTTTTTCCTGTAAAAGACCTTGATTTGTTTTTAATTAAGAAAAAATATATCATGCTGCCAAATACCAAGAGTAAAGTGGAGAAACTATCCAATAGTTTATTAAGCCAGGAAACATCTTAGGAGTTAAAACCAAAAATGAGCTTTGGAATACACAGAAGCATTCCTGCAGCACTTTTCTACACTTTCTTAAACCAAACAGGCCTGTTCTCAAAACCACACTGCAGTTATGGACAGATACACAATTCCAGAAAAAAAAATCCCAAACAAAATAGTTTTTAAGGAATTGCAGACAGGGCTTGGGAACATCCCCATGTGCGCTAAAGTACTTTTCTGGTTTCATATTGGAAGGAGTGCAGTATACCCATATCACAGTCTAACATTAGAATTATATTTATTTTAATATAAAGCTTTATTATACTTATACAATGAAAAACTGCATAAATCACAACACAAATTAAGATTTGTAAAGTTCATGTTTGAACATATTAACATGACAGTTGATTGATATATTGCTTCTTCCACCACAATTAACATTTATTTCACTGTCATACTCCCATGCACCATTACAATTCTATCACAGAATCACAAATACTGACTTCCCTTCACTGATCCAATAGGTGAGGGAAGTCAGGTCTTAATGGCTTCCAGAAGGCAAGGAAGGTAGGATAGGTCTTCCATACCTTGAGGATGTCTGTTCCACAAAGTAGGAGCAACTACAAAAAGGCTCATTTAATCGGTTCCACCAAGTGATATTTAAGAGAAGGGACCCACAGTGAATTCATCTGATTAAATCTAGTGGGACAGGTAGATATGTAACAATAAATTACTATCCCAATCAATTCTAGTATATTATACCAGCATGAATAATAGCTGTTTTTGCCTCATTCCAATCAGGTAAATTTCTTCATTATATATACCTGTTTATCTGCCAATTAATAAAAAAATCAGTTTTATATTTTACATAATCAAATATTATTTTATATAATATTCAAACTTGCTAAGATATTAAATTAGAAAAAGTTGTTTGGAACATTTTCTTTTGGCCATGAAACACACAATAATACAAAGCTGTCTGTAGTAATCTAATCCATAATATTCAGACATGAAAATAAAGTGCACATCTTTTATACTAGTTGCAGCTAAAATGTACATAATGTAATAATGCTGTTCAATTATTTGGCTGCAATACATTGAACTAGCATTCTTCTAGCCAGAGATGCAATAACAATGGAAAATATCTGTTCCTTAAGTAAGCTAAACATTTACATTTTCAAAAAGTGTTTTCTCAAAATATAGCTGACATTGCCCATTGCCTTCTTCAATTTTTTTTATATGCTTTACATTTTCATGTGCCTATCTGCTTGTTTTTTTTCTTAACCAGAAAAATGAAGCATGAATGAATAAGTCAGTTGAATGTCAACTACGCCAAAAATATTTAAAGATAAAAAACAAAAAAAACCTGGATAATTCACTAATATCACTAACTTTCTGGCATTTTTCATTAAGAGGCTTTCAAAGGCCATAGTTTAGTGATAGTGTTTACGTCTGAAAGCAAAGGAGTTTTCCAGATATGGAAAAATGCTTGTCAAAATCCCCATAGTATTGCAGCCAATCCATGCAAACAACAAAAAAATACATGAACCAAGGCCTTGACTCAATCTGAGGCATTTTTCTCTGTTTCTATGGCCATGGCATAGAGTGAGAAGGGGCTGTGTGGTAAGTAAAATAAATTTGAGAAGTCAAGGCTATTTTTGTTCCCTAAAGGACAAGTCAGTATGGGTTTTGGAAAACAGTATCTGAATCTGAAGAGATTTCCAAGTACAGAATGCAGCTAGACAGAAAATGAATGAGAGAAAAACAGTGAAGAATCCTGTTATACATAGCTATGTATGCTGCAATATATAACTATTATGCAATAATAAATCTGCAAACAGCAAAAACACTGAAATTGGAGTTACACTTTGAAAACCAGGAGGATGGAGAAGTAGGCAACAAAGAGCTAAAATGGAAATTAACCAGATAGATGGATTATGTTAAAAAAAAAAAGAAACAGGAAAACACTGCTCACCATATATGTCCTGCGGGTATCACAGGACTGTGGATTTCTATGTATCAGAAAATGCAATTGCATATTAGACTACAATTTCACACCCCAGAGATAAAATATGCTGTTAAGGGAAATGCTATATATTGTAGTTTTAGGAACTGTTGTCAGGTTCAGAGTAATTTCAATTATATCCAAGCATTCATCCCATTCAACACTCTACTTACATTCTGGACCCACCTCTTTAATTATAAATACTGCATACATACACACATATACACACCTGTTTGAAGATACAGAGGATTGACAGGCAGCAAAAAGACAGAGGTTTTCTTCACAGACTGCAGCTTCTGTTTCGGGGGACTGACTGCTGACAGAGGCCTGATCACTTTGCTCTTGAACCCTTAATTTTTCTCCTAGCAGAAGAGAAAGCAAATTGGTGCAGCTATGTTTCAATTGACATTTACTTCAGAATACCTATTTCCTTAGTATATAATTGAAACACATTCAGATAAGAACTATTAGTTTTTATACTGCATAAAACTTTGAAAATCCATCCTTTAAAACTAATTATTGCTAAACCTTGTAGAACAGGGGTGTCAAACTGGCAGCCCATGGGCCGATGCATCATGCGCAGGCCACGCCCACCCCAGCTCCGCAAAGGCAAAAAACGTCATGATATGTCACATGACACGATCCAGTTTGACACCCAGTTTGTTGTAGAATGTTTAAGTGGATTTTGTAAAAAAAAAAAAAGCCATATTATACAAATCTGGACTTCAAATGATAAAATGATTTTCTGTTTGGAAGAAAAGGAACAAGCTATAAGAGAAATGAATGAGTATATAAACAAGAACTTTTTTTCCCTGACTTCATAGAGAGATTAGCAAACCTGCTCTCCCTTCAGTGAAAGGTGTCAACACTTCCAGAGAGTCACTGAGGATAAAAGTTTTCAAATTCCAAGTAAACAGAACACTTTTTGATAAAGCAATTTCAGCCTTTTTAATAATTAAATAATAGCCCTTCTCAAGTTAGACACAGTTACACACACATACATAGGTGTATATTAGTAAATAAAACTAGCACAGTGAAAATTTGACTACAAAAGGGTAGTCACATGAACAGAAGAAATTATTCTGTACATGAAACATAGAATATAGGGTTGGATGGGACCTCGGAGGTCTTCTAGTCCAACCCCCTGCACAAGCAGGAGACCTTATACCATTTTGGACAAATGGCTGTCCAGTCTCTAAGATTCCATAGAAGAGGTAGAAAACAAGGAACAAAGTTGTTAAGGAAACAAAGAAAAAAAATGTCCCCTGAACCAGACCAAAGAAGTTGGGCCTGAGCACAGTGAAAGCTCTCCTCTAATCCCATTTAAAACAACAGTATATATATTGATTACAATATATATATTTTCTCACCTTGCAAACCATCTTTTCAGTATGATTTTATTATTTTACCTAGAAGTGTTGATCAGTCTTTCAGTGTTAGGGACTGCAAAAGGATTGCAGACTGTAAGTTTGAAATCCTTCCACCCAATAAGATTTCTGTCCATACAAAGGAAGAATATTATTGTTGGATAAACTAAAAGCAATCAATTTTATTCCTGGAAGTCTTTCAGATTTAGGGGGCCTCAAGTGCTGCATAAGATGTCAATAGCAAGGTTCAAAAACAACCTGATATTTCTGTTTATTTTTATTCATGAGAGATTTACAAGGTCAAGATTCAGTCACAGGCCAAAAAAGCAAACTTGTTAACTTGAAAACAGTTGGGATTTAGATCCTTAAAATGAAGTAACTGCCAAGATGAAAGTGCAAAATAAGAAGTTTTCCATAAAAGTATAAAAAATGAATCTGTCCATAAATAAAATTAGGTTTTTAAATTTAGACTTCAAATACATACACACGTACACTCACAGGTATGCCGTTCCTTTTCATCGTAAGCAAAAATATGCAAAGGTTGGAAAAACAATATTAAGCAAAAAAATCTGACACAGGAGATAAGAAAAAAAAGGAAATTTCAGTAAATCTAATTTATACCCACATAATTCATTATCTCCTCATCCATCATTTCCTTGTTAACCATTCTTGCTTTCACATTTATATAACAACTGAGTTCCTTCTCTACTTTATTTTTGTCTGTTTTGAAGGATTTCATCAACTCCATTTAACTGACTTTCTCAGTATTAATCTTCCTCTGACAATTTTCCTTCATGTGATTTATCTTCATTCATTAGCCGTGTATGGCCAAACCACTTCTCTCATATTTCTCTCATACTGATCACTCATATGTATTTCATCCAATCACATCCATTGATTCTTGACCATATTTGTTCTCTTTTGTCATGCACACTCACGTAATTTATTAAGGGGATGTCCCAAAAGATCAGGCCAACCTATTCTCCAAAGCACCTGAAGGCAGAACAAGAAGCAATGGATGGAAATTAATCAAGGACAGAACCTGGAATTAAGGAGAAATTTCCAGACAGTGAGAATCAGTGGAATGGCTTGCTCCATCACTGGAGGTTTTTAAGAAGAAATTGGGCAACCATTTTTATGAAATAATATACGGTCTTCTGCTTGGCTAGGGGGTTGGATTAGAAGATCTGCAAGGTCTCTTCTAACTCTATTATTTCCATTGTATTCAACTTAGTTTTATGTTTTTTTCTGATGCATTCAACTCTTACTTCACTTAATAAACTGAGCTGTGCTAAACAGGTATTTTTGCTTCTTTTGAAATGTATCATATTATTTGTTCTCTTTGTACTAACATTTGCATCTATTAAATGTTTTCCATCCATTTTCTCATCTTTGGTAAACATTCTATTAAGATACATAAAATCACGTTCTTGCTTACTGTTCCACCATATATGTATGACTTGGACTCATTCACTTATTGTTTTGTCACTTTAATGTTTGCTATTTTCTTTTCACATCCATACTTTCCATTACACCTAATAAATTTAATACTGTTCATTACATACTACATTATATATTCTTCAATATCTCTAACAAATCTAATAATTACATCTAATAATCTAAGAAAGGCTGCAAATTATTCAAGTGTTCAGCAATGAAATTGTCAGCTTACAAAAGTACCTGCCCATTCGTGTTCCTAACTAACCTGACCAATATTTCCTATATGTTTCTTGATGAATACTTTAAAAAGCTAAGTATTCGCATATCCTTTCTTACTCTTGGCTCAGTACTGAATATTCATACAGCATTCTATTTACTGTCACAAATGCTTTAGTTCCATGGTATATTTCTTTTACAAGGAGCAATCAATCTGCAATTCCAGATTTATATAAAATATTCCATAATTGAAGCCTATTCGTTTTATCATAAGACCTCTCCAAATTTCTCAATGATCTACTGAGGAGTAATATAATCTTTTATTCCGAGAAAAATTAAATGGCATTGCATTTTCCAAAATTTGCTTATTGTCATTTCTTGTATCCTTTGGATAAGAATTTGCCCAAACACTTCCCAGATATGCTTGGTAAACTATTCCCAATGGATTCCCGTATCCTTTGTCTTGACAGTATTTTTTCAACTGTCAGACACAGATGCTTTCTTAATATGCACATTGATCGAATTATACGGTCACTTGTACAAACCATATCCATATTTTTTCATTCTATCATTTATATCTGCGGTTTTATTATTTTTCAATATTCTCAAAACATTTATAATTTCCTTTTCGTCATTTGTTCCCTTTAGAAATTAAGAAAATAAGATTCCATTTCAATTTTGCTTAGTTCCCTTCACTCTGCTGGAAGCTCCTTATTTAGCCCTTTCATTAAATTCCAAAACAATTTGGTATTGCTTTGAAACAATTTTTGGAAGTGAAATACCATTTTTTAAAATTAGAGAATATTTAAAAATCCACAGAAGTATAAAAACTGAGAAATGACTGAATTATGACTCACTTCTAAATTTATTAGTTTATATCAAAAAGTGAATTAAATAAATTTATAGTTCTTGCTTATTAACTATGCATCTTACTCTAAATCAGTGGTTCTCAACCTTTTTAATGCCGCGACCCCCAACCAGTCGTAAGTCAAGGACTACTCAACCGGTCGTAAGTCGAGGACTACTCAACTGGTGCAGCACCGTTTGCAGAATGGGACTTTTGGCGGGCCCAGCAGGGCAGAGACAGCCTGGACAATTCCTATTGGCTTTTGAAAGCCAATAGAATTAGACTCTATTCAAAAGAGTCTATTCTATTGGCTTTCAAAAGCCAATAGAATAAAAGGGAGTAGCACAGCTAAGGAAAAGGGGGAAAAAAATGGCAGACTGCATTGTTTGGCGACCATGAAATGGTCTTTCGACCCCGAATGGGGTCCCGACCCACAGGTTGAGAACCACTGCTCTAAATCATTTCATTCACATCCTTTTTCATCCCACTATTGTTCTGCCCAACTCATGCCCACATATTCAGCTTGTTCCTTATAATAAGAAATACAGTGCATTCAGAAAGTATTCAGACTCCCTTCACTTTTATCAATTTTGTTCTGCTGCAGCCTGATTCTACAGTTGTTGAAATTCATTTTTTTCGTTAATCTACATTCAGTACCCCATAAAGACAAACATCCCTGGGTGAGGCAGATCTCCATTCACATGGATGATCAAGTTATGATCAAGTCTGAATCTCATTTTTCTGTTTGAGATGTGGAAAAAGGGAAGCAGGGCAATAACATTGGAATTTTATTAAGGAAATGTTAAGGGAAGAGGAAAATATAATCTATAAACATTATTGGTAGGATCCAGACCACTTAAATTTAACGTTTTTTTAAGCCTGACATCACTACTATTTTTCACCTTTACGTTTTATTTCCAATTGCAAAGAAGAAGGATGAAAGTGACAGATAAAATTAAAGTTATGGAAAACAGAGTGTAACATTACTGAAACAAAGTTTGCATTGATCTGCAATTCACAGTTGTAGAAAATATAGGTGCATGTCAGCTGAGGGAACAAACCAGATAGACAATATCGACAACAAAGATCAGAGTTATAGCAGCAAAAGAAAACTTTGTCCGAAGATCTTTTAAAATATCTGTAGTTCATCCATTGCAATATGAGTACCATTCCGTATATATTCCAAGTTATTTGTATTATGCCCTGTAAGAACTGATAAAAACTGTTTTTGAAGGATTGTCATCTGCTCCTATGGGACAGATCCAGTGGCCAACATTAATAAGTTTCCATCATAAATTTCAACAACATAGAATCAGGCTGCAGCATAACAAAATTGAAGGGGGTCTGAATACTTTCTGAATGCACTGTAAATTAGCCAAAAGGAAAAGTCATAAGTTGAAATCAGCTGGATAGTTGAAATTCAGACCATAAGAAAAAATAATAGCAACATTAGGAATTAGAAAATACAGGAGCCAAAAACTGTTTCTATTTTCATGATACACAATAGAGAATATATGTAGTTCAGGGCTAAAGTGTGAAGTCCTTAGTGCCCTCTGAGCTTATTTGCTTGCTTACAAATATTTCATTATTTGATTAGGTAAAACATCAGTATTAATCATCATCACTGATAATACAATAACACTTAAACTTATATACCGCTTCTCAGTGCTTTACAGCCCTTTCTAAATGGTTTACAGAATCAGCATATTGTCCCCAACAATCTGGGTCCTCATTTTACCAACCTCGGGAGGATGGAAGGCTGAGTCAACTTTGAGCTGGTGAGACTTGAACTGCCGAACTGCAGGCAGCTGGCAGTCAGCAGAATTAGCCTGCAATACTGCATTCTAACCACTACACCACCACGGCTCCTAATGATGTTACCTAGTTGGGTAATGAAATGTCTGCAAGCAAATAACCAAGTTCAGAGAGCACCAAGGACCCCACAATACAATTTCCTTTTTTGTCTTTCTTTGATACATAACATAGTGTAAAATAACTCTACAAACCTTGTATCTTTATGACCTTAAAAACTTTATTAAAATGAATGCTTAAGTTTCTTGTCCAATTTTAGTAAACAAGGTAGCAAACAAACAATTCATAAACACCTTTCCATTGGATGCAATTCTATCTTCCAAAGCTAGAAATTTACAAAATAAAGTTGAACAGAAATTTTAGAAGGTCATTAAATCAACTCTTATGGAAATTAATATGTTTTATTTTTTGTTTAATACATTATTTTTTGTTTTATTAGTGAAACTATATTAATTTATCATAATTAGCACTTATACCATTTTCAGTAGTTGCTTCTTTCTGCTCCAATCTTTCTTCTTTCTGCTCTGGTCTTTCTTCCTTTATCTGTTCTTTGCTTGCATTTTTCTTTTGCTTTTTCATTTGGTCAATTAAAAGCTGAAATTCAGCTTTGTGTTTCTTTCCTGAAAAGTAAAAAAATATGTAAAAAGAAGATCCTTACCACATGCATAAATGTATAACAAATTACTGATTTTATTTAAAAATTTTAATATAGTTTCATTGAAACTGAAGTCATTTAAACACAGCTTCAGAATGAAGTATAGGAAATGTTAGGCAGAACATATTTTGCTATTGTTGTAAAGAAATAGTATTTATCCTTTCTTTTTGATGTATCACAAATGGTTAACATGTTAAACTGGGACGGTTAAAATATGTTTCATTGGCCAATAATTTTATCAGGAATTATTGTTAGGATAGGATAAAGAAATAGAAATATATTCTGTTCTGAACACAGAGAAAGATGTACCAGATCACCAGAATTTATGAAAAGTGAACACACATTGAAAAAAGAAACAGCCAAACTTTACTTATTGCAGTATTGTAGGGTTCTACGTATAATTCTATTCTGTCAGACTTCTGGCAAATATTTTTATCATCTGCAATTTTCTCCCATATGTATGTCTTTTCATTAAAGTAGCTTTTTAGGTTGTTTCAATTTCATTTAATTCCCGGAGTGGCCACAGTATCATTTAGTAAAACTATTCCTCCTGTTTGCATGGGTAATTAAAATGTATTAATTGCATGATGCACTGATGCTATTATGTTTTAAGTTTATCAACTCTAAGAAGCATGCAAAAAGCATGCCTTAATAAAATATGTTACATCAAATTATTCAACATGCATCTTGTACAGTTCTGTCAGGAATATAGTTCTAAAAATACAATAAATCACTAATGAGATGATAACTGCTTTGAATACAAGACTAAGATATATAACCAGGATGAAAACAATCTGGCATTACCGTATATGCCGGCGTATAAGGTGACTTCCGCGAGCGCTGAAATCGGCGCCAAAGACGGGGGTCGTCTTATACGCCGAATTGTCTTATACGCTGGAAATACTGGTAGTTTTAGGAATGCAGCTCGGCAATAAATACGGGGGTCGTCTTATACGCCGGGTCGCCTTGCACGCCAGCATATACGGTACCAATTTAAATTCAAAATTACCTGCACTGAAATAAAACTGGTCTGGGTTATTTTCTTCATATTTATGTACAACAATCCTATAAGATAGACGGACAGCTATAGATGGACAGAGCATTTGTAGGAAAGAATCATATGACAACTAATAGGTAGATCAGTCTTTCTCTATTCAACCAATTGTTCTTCTTTTATCTTTTTCTTGCTGTTTTTTTTAACTGACAGATTCTCAAACCAAAATGAATCCAAATAATTATATTTATAATGTTATTATAAATAATATATTAATATATTTAGGAGAAAATATACTCTTTAACTGTACCCCAAAATTGGCTGGTACGCATCCCTTCAGATCCCAATCAGGATCATTTCTTAATGAAGCTCCACATTCAGGCATTATATAATAAGACAAAAGTATTGAAGAATCTTCTTATAAAACATTATTTAATATATAAAAGAACGAATTTCACTAGCTGCTTCTCTATAATACTCTGTGAAAAGACATTTAGGCTGTGTGTTCTTTTATAATAGGCTGTTTAAAAAGCAAACACAGAAGCCCACCTGCTCAATAAATAAATAGTGGCATCTAACTATCCTTTAAGATTTTTCTGACAGGACTAAAAGCACGTGACTAGTGTGGAACAACCAAGACGACCTCCGCCTACTCTTGAAGCATCTTACGGACGGTTGCCGGAATTAGTGGGAGGGGAGGGAATGCATATAGCAACCCCCTGGGCTGCGAAGAGTGTCCATTCCCTCTGCCCCTGGGAATGGAAACCTGGTGAAGTACCTGGGCAGTTGAGAGTTGTTTGGGGAGGCAAAGAAGTCCAACTGAGGCTGGCCGAATTTGTCCGAGATCTCCCTGAACAGAACGGGGTCCAGACGCCACTCTGAGTGGTCCACCTTAGATCTGCTCAGGGAGTCCGCTTGACGGTTCGCCTCCCCTGATATATGCTCTGCCTTGATCAAGCCTAGATTGGCCTCTGCCCAAGAGTTCAGACTGTGGGCTTCGAGCATAAGGGATCTGGATTGGGTCCCTCCCTGCCTGTTTATGTGCGCCTTTGCCGCCACGTTGTCTGTCAAGACTAGTACATGCTGTCCTGCTACTATGGTGGAGAAGTGGCGGAGGGCCAGGTGAATTTCCCTGAGTTCTAGCCAGTTTACACTGTGGCTCAAGTCTGAGCGGGACCATTGACCCTGGGCCAGATGTGTCTGGAGTGTGCGCCCCAGCCAAACAGGCTGGCATCTGTGGTCAAGGTGAGCCTGGCAGGCTCCTTGAAGAGGGATCCCTTAGCCATCGCTGGGGAGGTCCACCACAGGAGAGACGACAGTGTCTGGCGTGGGACCCTCACCCTCCTGTTGCAAGAGCTCATGTTCCGCTTCTGAAAGGGAAGAAGGAACCACTGGATTTCTCTAGAATGCAGCCTGGCCCATGGAACGATCCACATACAGGAGACCATCTTCCCCAGCAGCTGTGGCAGCTGGACTAGAGGAACTACCCTCTCTCTCCGAACCCGGTGTATGAGGGTCCAGATGTGTCCCAGCGTTCTTGGGAAAGGAAGACCTTGCACAGGTTTGAGTCTATGACCGCTCCCAGGTGGAGAAGGCGAGTTGAAGGGACCGTGTGGCTCTTTTGGAAGTTCATGGAGAATCCATGAACCTGAAGAGTTCTGATGGTGATTTCCAGGTCCAACTGGGCCGAACGGAAGGAGCGGGACTGGATAAGGATATCGTCCAGATAGCACTGAATGCACACCGGAATCATTCTCAGATGGGTGGCTAATACCGTTAAGATCTTCATGAACACCTATGGGGCCGAAAAAAGGCCAAACGGGAGCGCTTTGTACTGAAAATGCCGGTGCGCGTAACAAAACCGAAGGAATTTGCAGTGCTCGGGGAGGATCGGGACGTGCAGGTAAGCTTTGGTTAGGTCTATAGAGGACAGGAAATCCCCCCTTCTGATGCTGGCCAGGATAGACCTGAGAGTCTGCATCTTGAACCGTTTGTAGGTCAAGAAGTAGTTTAGTCCTTTTTTATTTTTTTTATTAAAAAGTTTTATAAAAATTACAATATACCCCTCCCAAAACCCCCAAAAAACCCTTCTCCCTCCTCACTTCCCAGATCTGAATACAGGATTACAAATATGATAATCATAATCTAACTAACATTAACCAACTATATAAATAACCAAATCCATGCACTTTAACTCCCCTTTAACATAAATATAAACAAATTGAAAATAAACATAATAATAATAAAAACATAAACAAGTTAATATTCTAATTATTAAACAATACAATCTCCAAATTGTTAAACAATACTGGGCACTAACAAAATGAAATTCAATGGTGAAAAAAGCAAGGTTCTACATTTAGGCAAGAAAAACCAAATGCACAAGTACAGCATAGGTGGCACCCTGCTCAATAGTAGTAACTGTGAGAGGGACCTCGGAGTCCTAGTAGACAATCACTGAAATATGAGCCAGCAGTGTGCTGCAGCTGCCAAAAAGGCCAACACAGTGCTAGGCTGCATTAACAGATGGATAGAATCAAGATCACGTGAAGTATTAATGCCACTCTACAATGCCTTGGAAAGGCCAGACTTGGAATACTGCATCCAGTTTTGGTCACCACGATGTAAAAAAGATGTTGAGACTCTAGAAAGAGTACAGAGAAGAGCAACAAAGATGATTAGGGGACTGGAGGCTAAAAAATATAAGAAACGGTTGCTAGAATTGGGTATGTCTAGTTTAAGGAAGAGAAGGACAAGGGAGGACATGATAGCAGTATTCCAATATCTCAGGGGCTGCCGTAAAGAAGAGGGAATCAAGCTATTTTCCAAAGCACCTGAAGGCAGGCCAAGAAGCAATGGGTGGAAACTAATCAAGGAGAGAAACAACCTAGAACTAAGGAGAAACTTCCTCACAGTGAGAACAATTAATCAGTGAAACAGCCTGCCTCCAGAAGCAGTAAATGCTCCAACACTGGAAGTTTTTAAGAAGAGACTGGACAGCCATTTGTCCAAAATGGTGTAGGGTTTCTTGCCTGAGCAGGGGGTTGGACTAGATGACCTCCAAGGTCCCTTCCAACTTTACTATTATTATTATTACTAATACTAAAAATAATAATATCATAATAATAAAATTCACTCATAGGCTAAATGAAACTTTTTAGTCCTATATTTATTCTGAATATAATTTATCCATCTTCTCCAAACCGAAATGTATCTTTCTTGTGAGTGATCCTTCAAGTAAGCAGAAATCTTAGCCATTTCTGCTAAATTTGACACTTTAAGTGTCCATTCTTCTATAGTAGGCAAGCAATCCTTCTTCCAATATTGCCTTACTAATAATCTTGCCGCTGTTATGAGATTCAACATCAAATTAATTTCTTTAGCATCACAATCTGTAATAACACCCAATAAAAATAATTGTGGGGTAAACTTTATCTTTCTTTTGAAAATCTGTTGAATGTTCCACCAAATCTTAATCCAAAAGGCTTTTATATTTCTACAAGTCCACCATATATGAAAATAAGTGGCATCCAAACTGCCACAAGACAACTTTTTAGGATCCAGATGCCATCTATAAAACATTTCATAAAAAATTTTATAAAAAAAAATTCTTAAATTTTGTGCCTGGGTAAATTTTACATTTCTATCCCAAATTACCTCCCATGTATCCAATGGAATCGGTTCTTGAACATTTTGAGCCCATTTTACCATACGATCCTTAACTAATTCCCATTTCCGAATCCATTTCTATTAAAACATTATAAATTCTCGTTGTATGCGCTCGGTTTTTATCTTTAATTAAAAAAAAGAAAAAAAAGTAGTTTAGTCCTTTCAAGTCCAATATCGCCCTCCAGCCTCCCGAGGCCTTCGGTAACATGAACAGAATGGAGTAAAACCCCTGTCCTTTCTATTCCATGGGCACTAGCTCTAAGGCTTCTATCTCCAGCAGATGGGAGATGGCCATGGATATG